CTTTATATTAAGGTACACAAATTAACCATCAACTAGTTGTTAATTAACATGCATATTAGCAGTATATTTGCTCTTTATTAGTCATTATAAAACACTTATTAATGCCTTATTCTACATGACCATATTCTACAAGTAATAAGCCATTAGTTGAGAGTTTTTCCTCAATAACCCTCTAATTAGTGCTTATGTGTTGCAAGTAAGGAACTTATTGTACATGAGTTTTGGTCTTAATATGCGCTGCTCAATATGGGCCTAATAAGGCAGTAGTACCACAAGAATAGTAATTCTCCCATAATAACACTTAACAAATATAATCTATTCTTATGGAACAAGACATGAAACTACAAGTGTTAATTGTGTCTAAACAACTCAAAATTAGGTATTTATATCTAAGAACATGTTCCCTATTTTAAAGTGAAGTCTTGTTCATAACCAATAAGCTAGTAGTTTGACTCTAATTAGGTATTTCTATCTAAAATATGTTCCCTATTCTAAAGTGAAGTCTTGTTCATAACCAATAAGCTAATAGTTTGACTCTAATTGACCAGAACAGGTTCCCTATTCTAAAGTTGCCTCCTCTTCACACTTTGTAAATACATTATAGCACACAACTACTGAAATTAACCTCAAAAGTACATGAACAAAGTAGGCACACGTTGAAATATCTGTTTTATTAATGAACCACTAAAGAGAGGTTCCAAAACATGTCACGTTTCTCCAAGGCTGAGAACACATATGCAGCCTGTACTTTTTAATAAAAACTGATTTTTAACAGAGTTTATGTATTTGTGATCATACTGTGTGACCTGCTTGTATGTTCTCACACAATAGGTGTACTGTTCTCTCTCTGTGTTGTCTCAGTGTGAACATAGATTAAACAGCCAGCCAAACTCTTTTGAGAGCCAGGGAATGAGCAGCCATGCTCCTTTATTGACTTATTTGCAGTCCACTGACATTCAAACGGAGTGAAACTATAAAAAAAGAAGTTAAGTTACAAGGCACTTAATGATCTCATACAAGGTAAACATAGCTAATGCTAGCTGTACAATAAGCATGTATACAGGCTAGTATGGCTAACGCTAGCATGTATGCTAACGCATTTTCTCATTGAGTTTAAACATCTCCACATGTCATCACATAAACACAATACATGTTACTAATCCTTACAGTGTAAGGCTCACACTTACACTTACAGTCATTGCTTTCTGACGGACTTGACCCTTGCTTTTACTCTTCAGGTTGCATAGGGAAAATTAGTGGCAGTGTACTCATGGATGTCTACTGCCATTATATTCCGTTCACGTTCTCCTACTTCCTGTACCCGGGTCTAACCTTCAGTACACATTTTACAAAAATATAAATGTGCAAATATTAAACATACAGGTCAATATCACCTTGCTATTGGTAGCTGAACTGTCAATACCCCAAAACATATTATAAGATATAAATACCTAATTTTGAGTTATTTTCACAATTAACACTTATAGTTTCATGTCTTGTTCCATAAGAATAGATCATATTTGTTAAGTGTTATTATGGGAGAATTACTATTCTTGTGCTACTACTGCCTTATTACGCCCATATTGAGCAGCGCATATTAAGACCAAAACTCATGTACAACAACTTCCTTATTTGCAATAAATAAGCACTAATTAGAGTGTTATTGAGGAAAAACTCTCAACTAATGGCTTATTACTTGTAGAATATGGTCATGTAGAATACGGCATTAATAAGTGTTGTATAATGACTAATAAAGAGCCATTATACTGCTAATATGCATGCTAATTAACAACTAGTTGATGGTTAATTTGTGTACCTTAATATAAAGTGTTACCGAACTTTTTAATTATAATTTGAATCTATAGTAAAACCACGTTGCTCTGAATGTCATATAATGAGCAAACTGTCAGCCTGGAGAGGATCATTAATCGGCCCTCAAATATAACATTCACATAAATATTTATTTACTCCGTCTGCCAAGCCTCTCCTTTGGCCTCTCATGGATAGGAATATTGGATAACTGGAATCATCCTCAATAGTTTGTCATGTTTTTTTTTTGTTTTTTTTAAATAAATACTTCCCCCGTCAAAGTTTGATCATATCTGAACACTGTCAAGGTTGGGGAAAATAGGACCCAAATGCAGTTAAAAAATACAAAAAGGTTTGGTTAACAAAAAGCGAGCTTTATTCCAAAAAAAGCCGAAGACATGAAAAACAAGAAACTAATTAACAAAAACAAAACTGGGGAGCACGACAGACAGGAACAAACTTACAGGCGGGAACAGGCAGGAGACATGGACTAGCAAAGACGAGCATAGGCGAGGCAGGGAACAAGGACATGAAGAGACAAGGTAGCATGGACATGGAAAGACGACGAACAGACATGGAGCACAGGGGAAGAGAAGACCAAATACACAGAAGGGTAATCACACGACAAGACACAGCTAGGCAGGGGAGGCAGAAACACAAGGGCAACAGGTGAACACAATCAGACACACCAGGGAAACTGACGACAGGGAGGCAAACACAGGAAGCAGGACCAGACAAGACACAAGGAGGAAAACATTTCAAAATAAAAAAGGTGGAAAATGAAAACAACAAATCCAAAACCATGACAAACAGTGCTTCCCAACCTGGGGTTCAAGTCCCCTAGATCTCCAAAGCGCTTGAGGGGGGGTCCAAAGGCCTTTTATAGGTGGCGAAGTCCATAGGGACTTGGCTTGGCAGGTCACCCGTTCAAGTCCCGGAAAGACCAAGTGCTACCGAGGTGTCCCTGAGCAAGGCACCGTTCCCTACACTGCTCCCCGGGCGCCGTACGTAATGGCAGCCTAACACTAGGATGGGTCAAATGCAGAGAAACCGTTTCGTTACATAGAACCTGTACTACGTAATGACAATAAGTTGAATCTTCTTCTTCTTCAATTACAGACTGTGCATCTTGTGCGATAAACACATATCGCAATGTGCAATATAGACACTTTTCTTGCAATACTGTGCAATAATCACCTTTTATCTGAAAAACCTACATTGTAATAAATGCCCCAAAAATGTTTTAATGTCTCAACACACCTAATATGTTGCCTGTCTTAAGTTATTTGTCTTTATTTTTATTCTATTTTACCTAATATGTGCTTTTCTTCTCTATATTTAATTAGTTAAGCTTATTCTTTATTCTATAACACATAGGTGTGAGCAAGCTCTCTGATTGGTCAATAGGCGTGTTTGATTCCACGATCAAACAACGATCAAATAGAACGTGCCTTTTCACAACAAGTCAGTATCCCTCCGCGTCTGAGAAAAACAGTATACCGTTGGGCAGCAGTTTGCTTTTCAAACTGGAACAAGAAAGCAGTGGAGAAGTAACGGGGCAGAAACCCTCCTTTTTACACAGCGGTCCAGACATAGACATCAAACGGCAAAACATATTCAGTGTGCAGTTCCTTTGGCATTAGGGCAGGGATATCTAGATACTTTCCAAGGTTTGACATAATTAATTGTGCTACTTTTAAAGCAAGCAACGTTGTTTTCAAATCTGTAATCAAAGAGGTCCGTAAAAACACTATCGACCAATCAGATTGCTTGATTTGACTTGTCAGTTTTATACATATATTTAAATTTCTTCCGTTACGAAACAAACTTACAAAGCATAAGATGGAAACATTTAAGATTAACTTCGACCTCCGGGGGGGTCTTACTATGGAGGAGTGGATTGAGGAGTGCCTATCTCCAGAAAAAAAAGCACCTAAACGACGACATGCAGAGCTACGTGAAGAGCAGGTAGACCAACTGGAGAAGTACCACCATTCAAAAGCTTTCTGATGCGGGTCTTGAAACAAAGCAGAGAAATGATGACCGTTATGGCGCGTTTCCACTGCAGCGGGGTAGCCCCGTTTAAGCGTCCCTAAGCGTCCTCGCTCTGGCCTCGGGCTGCCTCGCTGGCCGGCCCAGGCCGTGGCGCATTTCCATTACAGTTTAGGACCTGGGGTAGCAACGCAGTGTAGGCGGGGCGATCGGCTTTGTTTTTGTTCACATTTCGAGTTGTTCCGTCGAGCTCCCGCTGGATTTGATCATCCCCAATGAGATGAATGAACGTCGTCACCTCCTCGGTCGACCACGGTGTGCTTTTCTTAGAAGTAGCCATTTTTGTAGCTCCTCCGTTTACAAAATGCTGTGTATAAAAATGCTGCAAACTTGCTTCTAGATATATATATGCGACGCTAGGGATGAACTCGCGCGCAATCTTGTGACGATTCTCTCTGACCAATCAGCAGTCGAGAGTGTTGACGTCACTAGTTCAGCCCTGGCCCTGGTCTGAGGGAACCACGATTTTATGAGGTCGGAAAAAGAGGGAAAAAGTACCCGCTGGCCGGTACTAGGCTATATGGAAACGCCACCAAAAACCGGCCTGGCCGCTTGAGGACGGTTATGGACGCTTAAACGGGGCTACCCGCTGCAGTGGAAACGCGCCATTAGTGGCCACAGGTGCGAAAGCTCTCTCCAGAGCTACTGAAAGCCCAATCTCGGGGACCGGAGAAAGTGCGATAATATATTATTTACTATAATTATATGATATCAATAACTGTAAGCGGGGTAGCAGGAGTGTTTGATCGGCTATTGTTACCATAGGAACTACTTTCTAGGAACTACTTTCTGACGGAGATTAACTCAAGCAGAAAGCGTAGGTTTGGGAGCAAATTAGACCACATTATGAAATTATTTTACGATATTGTTGATTACAATGATAGTTTGTGTAATAGAATCGCAATCATACACTTGAGGCCGTTCTTGAACGTCATTATTGGTACTCCAGTACAGGCGTACGGACCTCGGCGCAAGCGCCTCGGTCCTGCCGCAGTACTGTCGTACCAATAATGACGTTCAAGAACGGCCTCTCGTGTATGATTGCTTAATTATTGCATGCCCTTGTTTACCTGATTTGCCAGTTTTTGCTGTAACACTGTACATTTCTGTCCCCTCTTCATTTCTTTCTCCTTCCTCAGATTTAATTCAGTGCACAAATGAGATGAATGTGAACATCCCTCAGCTGGCTGACACCCTGTTCGAGAGGACCACCAACACCAGCTGGGTTGTGGTGTTCAAGTCCCTCACCGCCACACACCATCTGATGGTCTACGGCAATGAGGTCAGCACCTACAGCTGTTCTCCACATTTCCTGAATTGGATGGAAATAAACTTTATTTTCATTTTACAGTGTATGAGATTATTATTATCTCAAAGTATCATGCTACATGCTCTAGTTAACAGAGTGACACTCTTCATTGCTTAACAGTTATATAACTACGGTGGCTGAGAAGTGCAAACGAGAATTACAAAGTGTGAAACACTTTGTAATTTTGTTTACATTTCGCTAATGTAAACAACATCACATTCTCGAAACACTTTTACAAGAACTGAGACAAATTCACAAGTCCCGAAACACTTTAACATTTGCCGAAACACTTTAACAAACTAGATAATCAAACCGGAAAGGGAATGTCCATCATACCGGAAGTCACGTGCAAGTGATTGAGACAAACTTAAAGTGCACCTATCATGCTATTTTTAGGCAATAGCATAGGTCTCAAATATATAAAAATATATAAAAAACATGTCTATGAAGTGCTCAAAATACCAAACAGATCACCCATTCTAGCCCAAGACCCCAGGAAGTGCGCCGGACTCTGATGAAAATATTCCTTGTGTCCAATTTCCGTATCAGTCCGTGACGTCACTGGGCCCAGAAAGACTTTTCCCCATTGACTAACATTGGGAAAGAGACGTCTGTAAATCTGTGGATATTTTTTTTTAAACTAAATAAACTACCCAGTATGAACTATTGTATAGCCCTTATTAGAATCATTCGGTCCTTAAAGTTGTAAAATGCACTAAAAGCCAAATCTAGATTTATTTTCTGTCTCCATTCATTCTACTGAGCAGAGAGTGGGAGCTCGGGGGGTGGGGCTTAAGGGGCGCATGCTCTGTGAGCGCACGTACGGGTTCTTCTGCTCTGACCGCTAGGCATGATGGGTAATCTGTGATGTTTCGCTCTCTCAAAAGTTGGGCCATTTTGTCCTCATGCGCCAATGAGCAGCTCTCATAGGAAAGAACGAGACCCCGCCTCCGACGCTCTATCCAGTTCTTATTATACATCCATGCTCTAGCCATGCCTCATATCCCTCTATTTCACTTCCTGTTTCAAAAGTGCTGATTTTGGGTATAAAGCTTTAAAAAAAAAAAAAATGTATAACAAATAAAAAAGGAGGGGGCTGAGCTCATGCGGGACCCCGCAGCTACTGTTTAAATTAAATGCTGCCGTGATGAAACGCCATATCATGGATTATTATGGATTATTTCTAAAACAGTATGGAGCTCAAAGGCTTTCTCTCTTGCCGGTTATAACACAAGGTGAGTTACTTTTTATTTCCTGCTTCTTCACACACATGCACAGGTTAGCTCTGAGTGTTAGCGATGCTAATGTTAACACCGACCGTATTACGCCCAAAACAGTCCTGCATTGTTTATTTTTTTTATTTTTTTTTACAAGTCTATTTATTTCATTATAGTGTACAGTAATCGATGCCATTTCATTTATATTGTAATATCACAGTACACTCACTACACTCCCCCCTCCCTCCCTCCGGGCGAAAAAATGCATATCAATATAACTTAAACAATAGAGCCATGAAAATAAACATAAAACGAAAAAGAAAAAAATAATAATAATTATACAATACAGCGACAATGTAGACAATGACAACACCACTACTAGTATTTCCGGCCGTCAGGAAAAATAGCCACAGAATGCACCATTCCATCACTGGTCATATCTCAGATATATTTTCCAAATAAGAAAACAATGGCAACCACAGAGCTTGAAAAATATGTCCACGATTCCATTTTTCCAATGTCATTTTCTCCAGAGGTAAAAAATGTGTTATCTGTTTGGGGTTCAGTTTAAAGTTTCGCATGTCATTTAACAGGAAAAAACATGGATTTTGGCTCATTTCGATGTCTAAAACGGCTTTTGTGAGAGCATGAATCGAATCCCAGAAATGTTTCAAGAGATCACAGTCCCAAAACAGATCCATAAATGTTCCTCCTTTTACTTTACATCTCGCACATTTTGGAGAGTTTTCTTTGGTACTGTTATGCATCTTTATGGGTGTGAGGTAAAATGTGTTGATACATTTAAAGTTTGCTTCTTTGATTTTATTGCTTGTGAATGGAAAATGTGTTCTTTCACAGATATTCAGCCAAGTAGTTTCATCTATCTGTATCCCTAAGTCCTTTTCCCAGATCTTTTTTTAAGTTAGAAAGGATGACTGAGCTCTTTTAGAAAAAACTGCATTCAATTCTCTAATTTTACCTTTGATCGTGCTCGATGACATCAATATCTCCTTCTCTTCCAACAATCCCGATCTCAATTTATTGCCTTTAATAATTGAGTGGATCAAGTTCCTAACTTGCAGGTATCTGAGCAAAACCTTGTTTGAAATGTCATATTCGGCTCTTAAATCATTAAATTATTTCAATGTTATATCTTTGTGGAACAAATGTTTCAATTGCTTTATACCTGATTTCGTCCATTTGTTTATATTAATTGACAACAAATATTTGCTAAGATCAGGATTGTTCAAAATAGGAGAAAATATCGAAATACCTGAGTTAACATGAACTTTCTTTGTACAGTCCCTCCAGGCTAAAAGTGTATTGACCACTGTAAAACATTTGGCCATATTTTTCACCTTATTGAAGTCTTTAACAAATATAAGAGTTTCCACTGGCAACGGGTCAAAGGTATTGGCTTCTATCTGAACCCATAGTGAATCCTTTCTTCCCAGAGACCAAGATAGTACATTTCTTAATTGAGCCGACCAGAAGTAGTGTTGAAAGTTCGGAAGACCAAGACCCCCCATAGTTTCTGGTTTCATAAGAGTAAGTAACTTGATTCTTGGTTTTTTATTACACCAGATACATTTTGAGATGTGTCTATTGAGAGATTTAAAATAGTCAGCGGATAAATAGCATGGTAACATTTGAAAAAGAAAAATACATCTCGGTAGAATATTCATTTTTATGACATTAATTCTTCCTAGCAGTGATATTGGTAATGTGGACCATTTAGATAAATCCTGTTTGATTTTGTCAATGAGCGGATTGTAATTCTCTTTAAACTGATTATCCAGGTGTGGTGTTATATTTATTCCTAAGTATTTAAAGCCACCTGGTGACAAATTAAAAGAACAAGACTTTTCCAAATTTGCTGTTGGCGTCATATTTAAGAAACAAGCATTCGATTTCTTAAAATACATTTTATATCCTGAGTACCTTCCAAAATGCTCTATCGTGTCGTGCAGATGTGGTACTGAATTTTCTGGGTCTGTTAAAGTGGACCTATCATGCTATATTTGAAACATATATTGTTGGGCCATACCTATATAAATATATATCTTTTTTCAAATCACCAAACAGATCCTGCATTTTAGCCATGCCTCATTTCGCTCTATTTGCTCTTTCCAGCCCTGTTTTTGCAGGGGGCTGATTCTGTGAGCTTCAGCTGACCACGCCCCCCTGCAGGAGAGGGGAGTTGGCAGTCACTTTGGCATTAGGGCAGGGATATCTAGATACTTTCCAAGGTTTGACATAATGAATTGTGCTACTTTTAAAGCAAGCAACGATGTTTTCAAATCTGTAATCAAAAAGCTCCTCAAAAACACTATCGAAGCAGTTCCTGCCGTTGCTACAACCCGTGGCCCAACCTCTCATTCCCCTGATAGGTGGAGAATTGACCAATAGCCATAGCGACATCGTCCTGACGTCAGGACAGTGTTCAAATCTGGATCAGTCTGTATCAGATCCGTTGCAGCCCCTTTTTTAGAGATTTGGGTATGGAGGAAAATAGAGAGGGTTGTATTTTCTGACACTTGGTGAGTTCCCTGGAACACCGGGGACACATATTCATGTATAAAAGACGTACAAAAGGGCATTTTGCATGATAGGTCCCCTTTAAGTAAAGAATGATATCGTCAGCATATAGAGAAATGTTGTGTTCATCGTTAATCTTCACTCCTTTAATACTTATGTTGTCTCGCACATATGACGCCAGTGGTTCAATTACAATAGCAAAAAGCAAAGGTGACAGAGGACATCCCTGTCTTGTCCTCCTTGTTAGTGGAAACAAATCTGAGGAACTGCAGTTAGTGATAACCGCTGCTTTAGGATTTTTATAAATTGATTTGACCCACTCTATGAACCGAGAGCCCATATTTAACCTGTTCAAGATAGCAAAAAGAAAATTCCACTCAACCCTGTCAAAAGCCTTCTCTGCATCTAAAGAAAGAAGCAGAGATGGCTTCTGACCGGTGTCCAAATGGTTTATAATATTATCCTTATATTATCAGAAGAATATCTGCCCTTGACAAAACCTGTTTGATCAGGACTAATTAGTTTAGGTAAAATAATTTCCAGTTGTTTTGCTAATACTTTGGTGATAATCTTATAATCATGATCCAAGAGGCTTATAGGCCTAAATGAAGAACAATTCAAGGGGTCTTTCCCATCTTTATGTAGTACAGTAATAAAGGCAAGATTCATTGAGGCATCGGGCATTGTTTCTGATAGCAACTTTCTGATAGTGCCGTGGGTCCACATTTCCGATATTACGTCATATCGGACGCACATCTGGATCAGCTCCGTTGTACCCCCGTTTTTAGAGATTTTAGTACGGAGGAAAAGAGAGAGGGTTTTATTTTCTGACGCTGCGTGAGTTCCCTGACACACCAGGGACACATATTTATGTATAAAAGACATTAAAAAGTGCATTTTGCATGATAGGTCCCCTTTAAGTTTGTTTTGGCTGAAAGACCACCGGTACCTATGGACGGTAGGCCTACGAGTAACTGGTCGTTAAACATGTTTTGTCCGTTTTGTGGAAACCACCTGGGCCAAGTGACACAGTTTTGCTCATCACGATGTACTTTCTCGGTTCGCCAAGTAGGACGTGAAGCTGTGCCTTTTACGCATCGCCTTCGCTGTGTTTACCTTCATTAGAACAGCTAAAGAGCGACTGCATGCTGCTACGTTTTAACCACACACACCTCTACACACACACTGGTGCCGATCTACAAACCCATCTGGAGAAAACAAGTGTGCACAAAAAAAAACTGTGAAATGTTGGACAGAGGAAAGCATTGCCACCTTACATGTTTGGACTGCACGGATTGGGATGTGTTTTATAGCTCATGCTCTGATCTCAATGAACTGACGTCAACTGTCTCATCCTACATATCATTTTGTGTGGAGTCTAACATTCCTTGTAAAGACATTACCGTCTTCCCTAATAATAAGCTGTGGGTCACGAAGGAACTAAAGAGTGTTATAAATAGAAAGAAACGTATATTTTATACTGGAAACAGTCAGGACAAAAAAGAAATTAACAGAGGTAAACACAGCGAAGGCGATGCGTAAAAGGCACAGCTTCACGTCCTACTTGGCGAACCGAGAAAAAAAGAATTAAATGAGATAAGAAAAGCTAAAATAGCTTATAAGGTGGAACTCAAATACAGCAGTGGAGATCTTCGGGAAGCCTGGAGGGGAATCAAATCAATGTCCTCCATTCCCAGGGTAACAACAATGACAGGGCTAGGAATCCCATTAACATTGAGGGAACAAATGAGGCAGACCTCCCCAATGCTTTTAACATTTGTTATTCTCGATTCGAGAAAAATGATTTCTCCATAAACACCTCAACCCTTAGAGAGTCTCTCTCCCCTATCTCAGACATAGTCATTGAACAGGATGATGTTAGGAATCTCTTAAAACGAGTCAATATTAGGAAGGCCCCAGGTCCTGACCATATTTGTGGGCGTACACTCCAGTATTGTGCTAGCGAACTCTGTGGTGTTTTCCAGCATATCTTCCAACTGTCACTTGAGAATAGCCAAATTCCTGATATGTGGAAATCCTCAACTGTAATTCCTATCCCTAAGAAACCTCATCCTAAAGTCCTAAACGACTTCAGACCGGTGGCTTTAATGTCATTGGTAATGAAAATGTTTGAAAAAATTGTTAAAGGCCTTGTCATGTCAGTAGTAGGTGGTGAACTTGATCCTCTACAATGTGCGTATCAGGCACACGATTTTATTTCCTGGTGTGACGACAGTTTTCTGGATTTAAATGTCTCCAAAACCCAGGAATTGATCATTGATTTTAGACGTCACAAGGATGTTCCTAAGGAGTGCATCATACACAATGATAAGGTAGAAATTGTCACATTATACAAATACTTTGGCACCATTTTCGATGACCACCTCAAATTTGATGTGAATACTGAGTGTGTTGTGAAGCGGGGTCAACAGAGAATGCACCTTCTTCACAAACTGAACTCTTTCTCTGTCAGGCCTTTCATTCTTTGTCGTTTTTACCAAGCATTCATTGAGAGCCTTATTTGTTTTTCTTTTATCTGCTGGTTCCATAGCCTTACACTGAAAGACAGGAATAGCCTGAACATCATTGTTAAAACCTGCTCCAAGATCATCAGCGTGAAACAGAGAGACTTAAATTCCTTCTGTAACCAACAGATTCTGCGGAAAGCAGAGAGCATTCTGAACTCTCCAGGTCATGTACTTTCACATGAATTTCGTCTGTTGCCATCAGGGCGTAGATATGCTCTACCTGATCAAAGGACAAATCGCTTTTCTAAATCATTCATCCCTTCTGCACTCAAACTTTTAAATTCTTGAAAAGGCTTTTAACTTGATTATTTATTTATTATTGTGATGCTTTGAACTATTTATAGTGTAAATTGGAATTATCCACATCTGCGCTCCCGGGTGTATCTGTGTGTTTTCTTCTTGTATGTTCCTGCCTATGTACATGACATAAGCTGCTGCTCATAACCAATTGCCCCTTGCGGGATTAATAAAGTTGTTGATTGATTGATTGATTGACACACCTCTACACACATCAAACTGCCCGATTATTACGCCTTATTATTAGTTTTATGAAGGAGATGTCCGTCCACCAGGGCGTGTGTATGTGTGTGACACTGGCATTTGTTTTCAGAAGATATTATGATAGTGTCGTTCGTTCCGGTGCACTGCGACAGCACTGAGCACTACATCGTTCATTTCATTTGGGAACACACATATATCTATGGAATTGGCCAGATGTGTGTAAATTACTGTTCATGGTCATTTGAAAACAAATGCCGGTGTCGGACAGACACACCGAACACACACACACACACACACACTTCGTGCGCCTTGGTGACCGGACTTCTCCTTCATAAAACGAGTAATAGGGGGAATAATCGGGCAGTGTGATGTGTGTGTGTGTGGTTAAAACGTAGCAGCATGCAGTCGCTCTTTAGCTGTTCTAATGAAGATAAACACAGCGAAGGCGGTGCGTAAAAGGCACAGCTCCACTTCCTACTTGGCGAACCGGTAACTTTCTTGTGCGCACGAGAAAGTATATCGTGTCACTTGGCCCAGGTGGTTTCCACAAAACGGACCAAACATGTTTAACGACCATAAACACACTTATACCGTCCATAGGTACCGGTGGTCTATCCGCCAAAACAAACTTAAGTTTGTGTCTATCACTTGCACGTCACTTCCGGTATGATGGACATTCCCTTTCCGGTTTGATTCTCTAGTTTTTGTTAAAGTGTTTCGGCAAATGTTAAAGGGTTTCGGGACTTGTAAATTTGTCTCAGTTCTCATAAAAGTGTTTCGCTAATGTAATTTTTTCTTAAGAAAATGTAATTTTGTTTTAAAAAATTTAAATGTGTCTCTAGCTTTGTAAAAGTGTTTCGCATCTTGTTAATTTGTTTTTGTTCATGTTAAATAGTTTTTTCTTTGGTAAAAGTGTTTTGCTAATGTAATTTTGTTTTATAAAATGTAAATTTGTCTCAAGCTTTGTTAAAGTGTTTCACACTTTGTAATACTCGTTTGCACTTCTTAGCCACCGTATGTAACCTATAGAGTTCCTCATTCTGTCTATTTGCAGAGATTTATACAGTATCTGGCTTCAAGGAACACACTGTTCAACCTCAGCAATTTTCTGGACAAAAGTGGCCTACAAGGTATGTTGCCAACACTGTACACACTATGCAACAATACACTTTTGAATATTTATTGATTGTGTCGTGACAATAATCATAACCCCTCACTTGTTTTGTTTTGAATGCAGGATATGATATGTCGACGTTCATCAGGAGGTATAGCCGCTACCTGAACGAGAAGGCTGTGTCCTACAGACAAGTCGCTTTTGACTTCACTAAAGTGAAAAGAGGGTGAGAAGCTTTCCCTGTAACAGTATGGGCTGTGTGTGATGTTGCCCCTGAGCCACAGAGCATCATCATGTTATGTTCCAGGAACGTGAAACCAGCAAGGAGATCGGCACAGGCAGGGCTGAGTGATACGCAAACAGAACATTGCAGTTGTTGTATTCCTTTAAAATACATCATATCAGTTTTGTTAAGAGTTGCAAAAGCTAAACAGAGAACTTCTACAACTCCATTGAGGATGGGGGGTCCTGTCTTTCCTTTAGTTGATGTTAAAGCCGAATACTGATTATTTAGCATCTATTACTTTAGTTTTCACTCTGTCCTGCTGCGGTGTCAAACACAACTCTTCACCAACACTCCTCATTATGCTCTATGACTCTAATGCAGCCATGTCCTCTTACAGTTCAAAATACTCAATTATCAAATCAGGTTTTCATTAGTAGGAACATGCTCGCAGATATCTGTATGAGCATTCCCTTTCTTTTCGTTGCACAGGTCCGATGGCGTGATGAGAACCATGAACACAGAGAAACTCCTCAAGACCATCCCAATAATCCAGAACCAGATGGATGTGTTACTCGATTTCAACGTGAGTGTGTAGTATTTGCTGCACAGGGTGGCATCTTTAATGTTTAGCTGACACTTAAAATGTGAATTTTGTGACGTAGTCTCAACGCCTCCGCCTCTCTTACAGGTCAATGCCAATGAACTGACAAATGGTGTTATCAACGCAGCCTTCATGCTTCTGTTCAAAGATGCCATCCGTCTGTTTGCAGCGTACAATGAAGGCATCATCAACCTCCTGGGTAAAACCCTGCTTTTGGGTTGGCATTAATCATTCTGACTTTAGAATTCATACTAATATGAATATGCAGAAAGCTTTCCTTTCTCCTCTTTCTCATGGGTATCATATACAGAGGCTAAACACCTTGGTTTCAACTTCTTGAAAGAAAATAATATTCAGTAGGCATAGTCTGCAAAACATGAAACAGAAATGACTGCTATGCAGATATTTTTGCAGTTGAGTAATGAACATATGATGGAACTTTAATATTCAAATATCAAAACAATCTATATACATACCAGATTAATTTCACCACCTTTTATCAATTCGGTGCTGCTGAGACGTATTTGCTTGATGTATATAACTTAAGAGATACTGTACCCATAAGAAAATAAATTGTGTTTAGAAAATATAAACTTATAAACCACAAAGTAACTGATTTAACAGAAACAAAAAAATTAATGATATTATTCCCATAATCTTTTTGTTGATCTTGTTAACAGAGAAATACTTTGACATCAAGAAAGTCCAGTGCAAAGAAGCACTTGACATCTACAAAAAATTCCTCACACGAATGACTAGAATCTCAGAGTTCCTTAAAGTAGCAGAGGTAAGTCAGGACTGCAGACCAGCCAATCAGGGAGCGTGCCACGCATCAGATTTTCCATCAAAGTCTGATGATCTTTTCTCTTCCTGCAGCAAGTCGGGATTGATCGAGGGGACATACCAGATCTGTCTCAGGTAAGCCTACATGCAAAACCTTTTTTTGGCATCTGTGCTGTTACTTAAAGTAATTTGCTTTAATTGAAAACGCTTCCTTTTTACTGGATTTTCTGAGCTAAAAAGTGGAGAATTGCCAGATTATGGAATGATTTTATAATACATTTAGGCTGTGTATATATAATCTGACATGCCTGTATTTGCCTTGAAACTGCATACATTGGGTTTTTCAGTGGGAAATCATTATTGACTGACTTAAAGATAGCTTCCTGTGTGCAGTAAAGACACTAAAGTCAAATATGTTAAACCTTCGGTCTACCAAATCACAAATAAACCTAACTGACATAAAACCCAAACTCTGTATGCAAGTCTCAGATTTGGAAAGGTAGAGAGCTTACATAATTATTGTCCAATCTAATAGTAGCTTATTAAGATGTAAACTGCTGTACTTTGTGAGTGTTATATTGAGACGGCATAAATAATGTTTTGGGCTTAAATGTGTGCTTTAGTGACCTCCATAATATGAACGCAGGAGATGTGGCTATGATTGTCCCCCCCTCCCCCCTGGCCTGACATGTTTTAACACCAGGAGCTGTGCATGCTAGGCAGTCCATGCATGTTCTCCTTATTGCACTGACAAACAGCTTCCAACTCTCACCGTCTCCTGACCTTGCCAGGCACCTGCTGATCTGTTCTGTTCGTTATGTATTCGGTAGAACTGTGTAACTTAGGCAGAAAAGCCACAATTGGAGAGCTTTCTTCCAAACATTTTCTTAATAATTTCTTGACTGTTGCCACCTTTTATTTTCTGTATTTTCCCTTCCTTCCTCTCTCCATTTTCAGTTTACAGTTGTTGTAAGTATACAAACCTTTTCTCTGTTTTTGGGAGTATCTGTTTTTGTGGACCCGTGGCAATAACTTGGCATGCTTTAGTGTTTTCTTTTTTAAAGGACATCTTTTATTAGGTTTTCCTTAGTTTTTGAAACCTAATGTGTTTGAATCACATTCACACTAGGCCCCCAGCAGCCTGCTTGATGCTCTGGAGCAGCACTTGGCCTCTCTAGAGGGAAAGAAAGTGAAGGACTCGACAGCAGCCAGCAGGTAGGTGTGCATCACTGGGTCACTGCTTTCTTCAGCAGCTTGATAGATGTTGACTTTGGATTGATATGAAGAAAAGGTAAGATTTTAACAATGCATGTGTGCAAGTCTCACATGTATTAAGGCTATGATATACTGGAGTTCTGTGACTTTTTTCTGTGTGTGTCCTTTGATTCAGGGCTAGCACACTCTCCAATGCCGTCTCCTCCCTGGCCAACACCGGCATATCTTTCACCAGAGCGGACGAGAGGGAGAAGCAGGCCGCCCTGGACCAAGAGCAGAGTCGCCTTCAAGCACTCAAAGTAAACTCTCCTCACTCTGCTCTTCTTTCAGATCAGTGCTCACAAGGCCTGCAGGCATTTGCTATACCTTGAAGTTGAAGCAGTTGTGCCATTCATGTCTTTAGGACTCTCTTCTCGTAATTATATCAAATGCAAAGCTATAACGTATCTAATATATTTGGAACAGTGGGGCGACCCTGTTGTTAAGTGACTGTGATTGTATATTAACCCCTTTGCTCTCTGGGATCTCTGTTGATCTGCTTTACAACTATAATCTGTCTAACCAGATAATAGTCCAAAGCAAAATGCTGAAAAATATTTTGAAAGGTTTGGACTGTGTAGTTACATTACATTGCATTTAGCTGACGCTTTTATCCAAAGCGACTTACAATAAGTGCATTCGACCAACAAAATACAAACTTGAAGAAAACAGAATCATATAAGTACATCAGGTTTCATAGAGAAAAAACATTTCAAGTGCTACTCAACTGGCTATAGATAAGCCAGCCCTTTATTAGTATATAAGTGCTTTGTTAATAGTTCTATTGCTCGAAGTGGAGTCGAAAGAGATGAGTTTTCAGTCTGGAAGGTGTGTAAGCTATCTGCTGTCCTGATATCAATGGTTTGATTTGATTTGATATACTTTATTAATCCCCGTGGGGAAATTGTTTCTCTGCATTTGACCCATCCTAGTGTTAGGACCAGTGGGCTGCCATTTTGAACAGCGCCCGGGGACCAGTGTAGGGAACGGTGCCTTGCTCAGGGACACCTCGTTAGCACTTGGTCTTCAATCAATCAATAGGATACGTCTGTAATAGGCCTAAGGCCTTTTAGTCGCTCATAAATAAATGAGTAGATCACTGATTCTTTTTTTACTATGGATGCTGGCAACAGTCACATAGTCCAAAGTGAAGGTGATGTTTGACCATTAGTGGTCGAGGCGGGATTTGAGACAGTTAACCGTCTTGGATGTGACAACGCTTTCTGGCAGATCATTCCACAAGTCAACCACACGCAGGCTGAAAAAGTTGCAGCGGATAGCCAGTCTTGAGTACTGTTTCTTCAACTTGAGGCAGTGTCCACGAATCCTGGTGTTATAATCCCGTTGTAGTGGGCATGATGTTTTGTAGATGTTGTGGAGATATTTGAAAACTTCGATCATATCTCCCCTCGCCCTTCTATAATACATACTCGGGATTTTAAGACGTTGCAGTCGTTCTTGATATGGTAGGTCCTTTAGTTCTGGAACCAGCTTCGTTGCCCTTCTCTGTATTTTCTCGATGAGCTCAGCATCCTTTTTGTACATGGGGGACCAAGCGACATTCCCATACTCGAGGAGTGGCCGTACAAGAGAGATGTATAAACTACGTACTACGTCAGAGTCCAAATAAGTGTATGATCTGCGAATCATTGCTAGGATACCATTGGCTTTGTTACTTGCCCGACGGATATGGTCACTAAATGTCAGGGTATTATCAACATTCACACCAAGGTCCTTTTCATTCTGAGTCTCGGATAGGTTTATAGTGTTTGAATTATCACCCATATTATACTCGTATTTTTTATTCAGAAAACCTAAGTGCATTACTTTGCACTTTGCTGCATTGAATTTGAGCTGCCAACACTCGGACCATCTTTGTATTTCTCTGAGATCTGACTGGAGTTTTTCTGCATCCTCTTTACACTTAATTTCCTTGAAGACTTTAGTATCATCTGCAAACATCTGGACCCTGGAGCTCACATTATCCGGTAGGTCGTTGATATAGAGGACAAACAGTGCAGGACCCAGGACACTACCTTGTGGAATTCCACTGAGAACTGGGCACCATCCAGATGGTTTCCCGTTAACAAAGACTCTCTGTCGCCTGTTTTTGAGAAAGTCTGAGATCCAGGTGAGTATGTCTCCACGGATACCATAACCATAGAGCTTATTCAGTAATCTTTTGTGAGGTACAGTATCAAATGCTTTCTGGAAATCCAAATAAATGGCATCGAGACTTCCTCTTTCGTCAAGGGTACGAGACCATATGTCAAGGCAGGCCAGGAGTTGGGTTGAACAGGATCTGCCCTGGACGAAGCCGTGTTGGCGGTCTGATAATAGGTTGTTTGAGTCAAGATGTTCTATGACGGCATCACGCACCAAGGATTCAAGGAGTTTGCATACTACTGCTGTAAGGCTGACAGGCCTATAGTTTCCAGGATTGCTTCGGTCACCTTTTTTGAATATAGGAGTTACATGACCATCCTTCCAAGGCTGTGGTACCACACCTTCATCAAGCGATTTTTTAAATATGGTAAGTAAGGGTTCATCTAGTTCGTCACACAGTTCTTTGAGAATCCTGGGATAGATGCCATCCGGTCCTGATGCTTTTGAGGCATCTAAGTTCGATAGTTTTTTATGGATGTCCTTAGATGTGAAGTCCAATTTATTTAGTGTAGTATTAAATGGTCTGTCCTGGAAGTCTGGTATTGATGAGGTATCCTCCTTTGTGAACACACTAGCAAAGAAGGAATTTAGTGTATTGGCTTTGTCCTTGTCATTTTGAGCCAGGCTGCCATTAGCCTTTTTCAGATCTCCGACTGTGGCATTGACTTTTAGCTTGCTTCTGGCATATTTATAAAAAGCTTTCGGATTCTCTTTGGCTTCCTTTGCAATTTTTCTTTCATGCTCTCTTTTAGCTTTCCGACACTCCCATTTAACTTGATTGCACAATTTTGCATAGGAACAACGGTCACTCTCTGTACCAGATAACCTTTGTAAGGTGTAAGCTGCACTTTTTGATTTGATTTGATGTTTGATTCTATCATTTATCCATTCCGGAGTAGAGCGATTTTTCTTACTTTTTCCCGACGACATAGGGATGTGCCTCTTGCAACTTGTTAGGATTTTTTCTTCCATGGCCTCCCACTGTGCTGAAGCTGACTTGTTTTCAAAGGTCTGTGCCCAGTCTGTCCCAATCATTTCCTGTTTCAGGCCTTCATAATTTCCTTTATCAAGGATGAACTTGCGGTTTGGATTGTCGCATATCTCATGGTAGCATAGAAATTTGAAAGACAGGCAGTCATGGTGACTTTTTCCTAGTGGTGCTTCATGGCATAGATCCTCAACCATTCCCTCCTCATTTGTGATAATTAGGTCAAGCACGTGTGGGGTTTGGTTTCCTCTTGCATGAGTTGGTTTTGTTACATGTTGAAATACGTAGCAGTCTCTCAAGCATTCAAGGAACATGGATGCAGGGTGGTTTTCACTCTCTGGTGCCCGTATGGGTTGCCAACCAATTTCAGGATAGTTAAAGTCTCCCATAATTAAAACGTGGCTGCGGTTTAGTGAGGAAGCTTCGTCAACTAAACTTCTAGTTTCAGAGTTGCCAATATCTTGACAGTTTGGTGACCGGTAGGCACATCCAACCAGAAGACGGTCCGTATTGCGGAGTTGTATTTCACACCACACAGATTCTGTAGATGTACAGCCCTTCAAGTTCTTAGGTACTGCTCTGAGGTAGGATTTCGTGTAGATACAGACACCTCTTCTACCCTCATCTAGATTGCTGAAAATGTCATATCCACTGATGTTCAATTCACATAACTGGATTGGTACTTGTGGGTTTTTTGGAAGTGCTTCACTAATAGCTATAATATCTGGGTCATATTTATCAATGTTTGCTACCAGTTAATTTCTCTTATTCATAACAGAATCTGCATTAGTGTAAAGACATTGAAGGCCCTTAGAAAGTCCTCTACTACTCTCTGAGTTGTTATTATTTATGTATTTGTGGGTTCTGTCATGTTTTAATTTGGTTTGATTTTTTGCCAAACAACTTTCATGTCCCACACTGGTCCTTGTATTTTGAACCGCCACATGTTCGTTCCGTCCTCTTCCATTTTGATTTTTGCTTTCTTGACAAGGTCGTTCCTCTGTTCCCGTTCTTCTTTGGAGAGGTCGTTTGCCACACTTATTAACTTGAACTTTGCTGATGCGTTCTTCAATTTGTGGAGACTTGACATTATTTTTCGTTTCTCGAAAGTGGAATTTGTGGTAATCAGCATTGGTCTGTTTTTTTCCGGTTCTCGAGTCCCGAGGCGTATCACCTTTGATGCCAAAACCCCTTCGATTCCCAACTCGTTTTTTATCAGATCGTTTATCGTATCTTCATCATGCCGTTTCCTGGCATCTATATTTTCGTCCTCACTTTCTTGTAATCTGTGTATAACAATGTTTTTCTCTCTGCTCTCTTCTGACTGTTGTTCTCTCGTAAACTCCCTGATTGCCGATTTGACTAGTACCTTATCGTGTATTGTTTTCTTCCTGACAACATCTGACCACGTAGGTGAAGTATCATCCTCAGTTACAGAGTCACTGTCTCCCTCCTTAGGTGGGCTCACCTGTATGTCTTGGGAGATGAGCTGTGTGATAAGCTCTCTGGTGTAGTTTTGTTGTTTCTCTGCTTGCTTAATTATCATCTCCTCTAGTGCGTCCAATCTTTTTACTAATTCAGGTGAAGAAATTGTTTCTTGTTGTTTATTGTTTTCCAACAGTTCCTCTGATTTTGAATCCTTCAGTGCCTTGCGGGTTTTATCCTGGCATTGCTTACTACACAGCCACATCAAGTCATCACGCCGTGTGACTGCATACTGTGCATTTGTTGGTTTCAGACATTTTGCACATGTGTGTTTATTGCAATTTTCACATTCTAGTATCTTTGTGCTGACCTCACTGAATATGACTTGGCAGATATTACATACCCAGGAGTCTTCATCTGCTGTTTTATTGACATTTGTTACATCGTTACCTCCCTCTTTTTTATTGTCAGGTGGCTCATTTCCGGCAAACTGTATAGCTGTTTGACTTACGAGCCTCATCTTCCCTTTATCTTCTTCATTCTCTTGCTCGTCTTTCTTCTGTTTTGGATTATTTCCCGGCATGTCTTGTTGTTGTTGTCGCTAGAGATTTGTCTGATTGTCAGCTCTTCCTGGAGCTGACAATCGGACAGCTGTTAGCTCCGTTAGCAGCTAGCTCTCCTCAACCCACTCACGTAATGCCTGTCTCTTTCTCCGGTAAACTCTGGGTCTTTTCTCCGGTAAACTCTGTGTGTTTACTCCGGTAAACTCCATGTGTTTTCTCCGGTAAACTGCGTGTGTTTTCACCCTCAAAATGCACCGATAACTGTGAGTGCAGAGCTGCGTATTGACCAACAAAGCAATGCTGCAGCGATGGTCTTGCCGGGACTTGAACTGGTGACCTTCCAGTTGCCAAGCCAAGTCCCTATCGACTTCGCCACCACCACCCTAGGGGAGCTCATTCCACCATTTTGGAGCCACGATAGCAAACCCACGTGTTTTTGCTGATGGGAACTTGGGTCCCCTTCGCAGCGAGCTGTTTGGTTGATGCAGAGCGGAGCGCACGTGCTGGGGTGTACGGTTTAACCATGTCCTGGATGTAGGAAGGGCCAGATCCATTCGCATCATGGTACGCAAGTACCATTGTCTTGAAGTGGATTCTAGCAGTTACCGGAAGCCAGTGAAGGGAGCGGAGGAGCGGCGTGGTGTGGGAGAATTTAGGAAGGTTGAAGACCAGACGAGCCTCTGCATTCTGGATGAGCTGCAGAGGTCGGATGGCACATGCAGGTAGACCAGCCAGGAGGGAGTTGCAGTAGTCTAGGCGTGAGATGACGAGAGCCTGGACCAGAACCTGCGTGGCTTTCTGGGTCAGCTGGGGGCGTATCCTCCTGATGTTGTAAACAGGGTTCGTACGGGTGCTTGAAATCCTTGAAAATGCTTGAAATTTGACGTGGTGTTTTCAAGGTTGGGAAGTGCTTGCATTTTGGGAATGGTGCTTGAAATTGAGATAAAGTGCTTGAAAATGTAAATGCTTTACTTTTACAATAAATTGCTGTCTGACTGAATAGTTCGCTTTTTAGATTAAAAGAAAATAATCCGCTGCGGCCTTCCCGCGCTATGCGCGCGACCTGCAAGTGTTTGTGTTGCGTGTGACCTGGGCATTCTGATGAGTGATAGATGTGTGCCAGGAGGTTGCAGTTTCAACGAGCGTTGGCTAGCAGAAGACAAATACAAGCCATGGCTAAGACGAGGGTCAAGCCCACGAGTAGCCTCCTGCAAAGTTTGCAAAAATAACGATGCGAGAGTCTGCGCTGACGAGCCACATGAAAGGTACGCCGTAGTAGAGCATTTTAGATTAGGCTAACGTTGCATGTTACGTTTGTTGAAACTAACGTTAGCAAGCTGAATAGCGAACTCGATTGAGGGATAATAATAATTGCAGTGGACAATCATTTCAGAGGAGCGTACCTATGTTAATATGTGCGTTACAGTCGCCATCCTGTGGTGTTCAGAGGATGAAGCACTCACGGCATTTCGTGTTATAGTCACAAAATATAATCTATTGATTCGACACAGAGCGATTTTGAAAGCAATGTATTTCTACTGGTAGTATGTTTCGTGCCTAAACCAAATGTGACTTGCTCTATCGAAATCAGTCACATTGACCCGAAGACACATTTTCGTTTGTATTACTGGTCTGGGGGAAGCTCGCGAGTGTGTTTGTGTATTTTTGCATTTGTGTAATGGGGAAACACTTAAAGAAACACCGACTGTTGTTATGCCTGCTGTGACGTTAAGTTACTCAGTTCTCCGCTTGTAATTATGCCGAAGCTTCAAAGTTGTATTTATCATCTGAATTTGCCGAAACAAGTTTAATATTCTGAAAGCCAAGACTTTGTTTATTTGAAAACAGATGAAAACAAACTGTCTTTATATAAAATTGAAGTATTATACAAGTAAAACTACATTTTGCTTTAAGCCCATCATGTAATTGTAGAATGAACACAGTCTTCCTTTGAAGATGTATAAGTCAGGTGTCTTGAGTAGTCAAAATTACCTACAAATCATTGTACACCTTTGTAATTATTTTCCACTTGTTACCATTGTGAGTCTATTTTTATGCAGCTCTGCGTGATTTTGTGGCTACAATTCAGGCTAATACACTACCAGAGGTGGAATAAGTACTCAGATATTGTACTTGAGTAAAAGTAAAAGTACTCAGATCTTGTACTTAGTAAAAGTAGAAGTACCAGAGTGTAGGAATACTCTGTTACAGTAAAAGTCCTGCATTCAAAATGTTCCTCAAGTGAAAGTAGAAAAGTATTCTCATCAAAATATAGTTAAAGTAGCGACAGTAAAAGTAGTCGTTGTGCAGATTGGTCCCTTTCAGAATAATATATATGATATATTTTATAAAGATTGATCATTAAAGTGTTCTCAAAGCTGGTAAAGGTGCAGCTAGTTTGAATAACTTTGTATACTGCAAGGTAGCTTGTGGATTTACTCCAGGTGGAACTACAGTCTGATTTAACACTTGATTATATTTCACATCATTCATCCAGATCTGTAAAGTAACTAAAGGTATTAAATACATGTAGTTAGAGATGTCCCGATCCAATCACGTGATCGGGGATCGGAGCCGATCACGTGATTTTCAAAAGATCGGAATCGGGAGATAAAAATCGGGGATCGGGAATTTTTTTTAATTTTTTATAAAATGTTTTTTTTTTTAAATGTAATGTTACAAAACTAAAATCACCATGTTCACGTCTTAAAGTCATCCTGAGGCCTTAGTTTTGGTTTAAAATGACACAACATCATGTATGTGTTGCTTCTTTTGGGCTTGTTTTCAGACCTGGTTGCTTATTTCTCTCAAAGCTGGCAACAGAGTGGGCGCAGTGTCTAATAGTAGCAGCAAGCTAACGAGAGGCTACGTTCAGCTGGTGACTCGGGAGTCGGGACAGAGAAAATGTCAGGAGTTTGGAAGTATTATAAAATTGAAAGCGAAGGCAGTATAACAGCCAGATGCAATGTTTGCAAGGCGGAGGTTCCGCGTGGTGGAAATAACAGCTACGTTCAACACGACCAATCTAACACGCCGCCTGAGAAACAAACAACAACACGACGAGTACACAGCGGCCACTCAGGGAACGGCACTGAAACAACCGACACTTTCAGAGACTTTTAAAAGGAAAGAGAAACTGCCCCAGAACAGTGAAAAGGCCAAAAAACAACAGCCAAGATAGCTGAATTCATCGCGTTGGATGACCAGCCGTTATCTGTTACCTTTTTTTTCTCATTGCATAAAGATCGGATCGGGAAAAATCGGTATCGGCAGATTGTCAAAATCAAATGATCGGAATCGGATCGGGAGCAAAAAAAGGTGATCGGGACATCCCTACATGTAGTGGAGTAAAAGTACCTCTGACTTATGTTCACTGCCAACCTAAAAGTTCCTCAACAATAGTAATCAATAATGTATTGAACAGTTATTTGGCTGATTGTTTTATATTGGCTCAGACAGGTTACTATATGGGAGGCCTAGTCTACGTACAGATCACTAATTTTGAAATATTAAACTTAGTTTTCTTTTCTTTAATTTTTCATCCTCGTGTAGAATGCTATCACGAAACACACATTTGGTTGTTTATAGCATAAAGAACATCTGATTTAATGTGAGGTAGGGAAATAATCATTTGAGTATGTGTATATAAATATGTAATTTACAACAGCTGTAAGATGCTGGAAAATTCACCTTGAAAAGTGCTTGAATTTGACTTTGGAAAAGGTGTAAGAACCCTGTGTAAAGCGTGTATCTGCAGCAGCAGGTTGTAGCAGCTATGTTTGCAGTGAAGGACAGGTTGTTATCTAGGGTCACACCCAGATTCCTTGCAGTTTGAGTCGGGGAAACAACAGAGGTGGCGATGTTGATTGTTAGGTCAAGAGTGGGACAATCTTTTCCCGGAAGGAAAAGCAGCTCAGTCTTGTCAAGGTTGAGCTTGAGGTGGTGAGCAGACATCCACTGAGAGATGTCATCTAGACAAGCAGAGATGCGTGCGACGACCTGGGTCTCTGAGCGGGGAAAGGACAGAATTAATTGGGTGTCGTCAGCGTAGCAGTGGTATGAAAAACCATGCGGGCTAATGACTGATCCGAGCGAGTTTGTGTACAAGGAGAAGAGGAGGGGACCAAGAACAGAGCCCTGAGGGACCCCTGTAGTTAATTGACAAGGGTCGGACTCCGACCCTCTCCAAGTAACCCTGTAGGTGCGGTCTTTGAGGTATGAGGTGATGAGGGAAAATGCAGAGCCTGAAACTCCAAGTTCTTGGAGAGTGCGAAGGAGGATCTGATGATTCACCGTGTCGAATGCAGCAGACAGGTAGTTGCATACAGATCGGCCTCTGCCTCGCTCACACTGTCCTCCTGATGTTAGGAGCAGCGGCTGAAGGAGCTTAAAAAAAAACCTGCGGCAGCAACCACAGACTCCTCCCCCGTCTTTGAGGAGGGCGGGACCATCAACTCAGCCCCTACAATCGACCTCTTTACCACCCCCAGCTCCAACAACAGGTAAGGACCTATCATCTCATCTTAGACCAGACAATCTCATGCAAATGTTTCAGAACTGCAGATAAAAGCTGAAAGGAGATCGAAGAAATGTGTTTATTTAAGAGCAATAGTCAAGGTTTGGACATTTTACAAAATGTTGGTAGATTGATGTTGCTAATTGAATTTAGGATAACTTTAATTCAAGTAAATGGCTCATGTTTCAAAATGGTTTCACATGATTAGATTCAACTTTGATCACTTCATAGATATTGGGGTGGCCTAGCAGAACTACCCCTAAAGGCCCGGACACACCAAGCCGATTTCGGCCGTCGATAGATGTCGATAGATGTCTGGCTGTCGATGAGCGTCCTGTCGCCCTACTCAGATTGGTGTGTCCCGCACCGTCGTGTCTTTTCGGCGGTGCCGACACCTTCCGCCCCCGATTCAACATGTCAACATCACTCTGATTGGCTATTCAGCTGCCTGTCAGTGTTATGATGTTGTATATTAATATAATATTGGATTATAATTACTGATGCATGGAATGTGGTAGCAGCAGGTTGCCAGCCACAATGCTTAAATAGTGTCTTTCTGCTTCAGAGAGCTGAAGTTTGTATATATCACGCAGTCTGTCTTCTGGTTGCCTCTTTTGAATGACGAATACACACTACCGCCGCCTGCTGGTAAGGAGAGTTATTGCCACTCACGCATGCGCAGTTCGTACGTGCTACTTGGCCGCCGGCTGAAGTCTTTGCGGTGTGTTCCAGTGCGACTGTTGGCCAAGACGCAGGAGACGTGAGGCGACACAACAGTCGGGTCCGTCGGGACGTGTTCTTTGGTGTCAGCTTGGTGTGTCAGGGCCTTAACACTAGATGAAGCACAATAAATGAAAAGTGGAAGTGTTTATGCAAATAGTGGCAAAATAACACTAGAATAGTGCTCAGGGCAAAACATGCAGTTGTGTTCTTTTTTATAATAGCAGACTTATGTTGAACCTAATGTTTAGTCAAAAAGTGACCAGTGTAACCCCCTCCCCACTGTTCCCGTTTGTTTCTTCCAGCATCTCCAAGGCAGCTATTGAACTGCTCGACCTGCAGCCAGCGTTCCAGCCTTCACTGCCTCTCTCCACCGCCAGCTCCTGGGGAGGTGAGGCCTTCAAACACACTGCCAACACACTAGAGGTGGGGACTCGAGTCACATGACTTGACTCGAGTCGCATATTTTTTGACTTGAGACTTGCTTGACTAACATTGAAAAGGTCATGAAAGGAGCGTCCACGTCGCGGCCCTGGGAGTATTGACGAGATCGACAAGATCGACAAGATCAACTAGATCAACTAGATCGACTAGATACTGCTAATCCTATCACCACTACAAGCAACAGTTACAAGCTACAAAACAGCCACAAGCTACTTTACAAGCCACAAGCTACGCTAGCCGCAAGCTAGTCTGCACAAGCTATGCTACAAGCTACGCTGAAAGCTGTAAGTAAGCCACAGAACACCAAGATCCTGTAACTGACTGCCTTGTGGACACAATAAGAAGAAGATTGATAAAAGACTTGACTTGACTTTGACTTGGTATTCATGACTTGAGACTTGACTTAAGCTTGAGATAGATGACTTGAAAGGACTTGACTGTTTAAAATTAAATATTTGCGTTTGTTTTTGTATTGAGATATTACGTTTAGTTTTTTCGACAAAACGTGATTATAGTGACCTGGCGCCAAACCTGGCAACCCACTAGAAGGCAGAAGTCCCCAGGCTGAAGTCGAATAGTCCATTTAGCTTAGGAACCTTCCTGACCTTGTGGCTGCAAAGTATAGCGCAGCATTATGCATATGTTTATATGATGGGTCAAATTCCCATGCTCATAAAATGCTCATATAAATAAAATAAATAAATGTTTTCTCTTAATTCCCCACGCCCCAAAATAAATAAATAAATAGATATACACATTTTAGGAAAAGTAACGAAGCTTGAGCAGTGTGGGTTTTATAATTAACAGAGTTACACATATTTCAAAACACTAAGTGTAATAACTGCAGTTTGCCTCCCTGTCAGAATAACAAAGGTCCTCAGTGAAGCACAAGCCCATGTTTCTCACTACATTGTACAACTTGTTAAAAAGATCAGTTCAATGCAACTAATGTCGTCTTAGTGTTATTGCATGATGTTAAAATTGGTTTACCATGAATTTAGTGATGGATTGTAAACATTTTAAATGTAGCATTTAAGTGTTTCTCAGTTACAATGTTGTTGTTTTAATAAATCAGACACTGATGGTGCAGCACTGTAGGCTACTGTACCTCTTTATAGGCATTTTTTCCTTAACAAATTGTGTTTGCGCTGATCAGGGGGTACTTGGCTGAATTTTTTTTTCAAAGGGGGTACATTATTGAAAAAAAGTTTGAGAACCACTGCTCTAGATCAGTGCTTCTCAAAGTGTGGTCCGCGGACCACTGGTGGTCCGTGAGCGCCCCCCAGTGGTCCGTGAGTATATTGGTAAAATTTCACATTTGAAATTAATTAATTAATTAAAGTTGTTCGTACTCTCGCGGCAATATCTCCGCAATGGAGCAAGCTTAAGTTTCACTTTCGATTGCATAATATAGCCCAGATAAACACCTTCATCACACATGTTGCCACTTGTTTGTACCATTTTCAGGCAATTTGTAAAAAACGATGTGTTTTTGGACATTTGTGGAGTTAGGTGGTCCGCGAGTGTTTTTTTATTGGTTAAGTGGTCCTTGGTATGAAAAAGTTTGAGAAACACTGCTCTAGATGATAGGAAAGGAGGTTTCAAACTTCCTTTATAACCTCCTTTAGCTTAGGAACCACTGGACCTCCCTTGACGAAAGGAGAGGAGAAAATGCTGCCCCACAATGCCTTGCAGCCACAGCATTTGCCGTCACTCAACAGTCGGCCGTTCACGGAAACAAACGATTATGACCGAGAAATGATATCATGAAAGTTACGGTGCTTATTACGCATTTTTAAAAGTATGTGGTAAGTTGCCAAAGTGCTTTGTTTTGAACGTTCATCAGTATTATAATCAAAAAGAGAAATATGAACGTTAGTTTTTACTGAAATGATCAAATAAAGTCAACATTTCACAGTCTTTACTGAGCTGTGTGGGGTTTGTTCAACTTTTAAAATATGTTTGAATGGTGATAAACACAGTGATAGATGTTAAGGACTAACGTTTATAATAAATACATCTGTATTGATTTTAAGATCTTTTCATACAATAATACGTATTGGGATCATTTGTATTAATGTGGACCGGAGGGAGAGGGTGACGAGCATAAGTTTCACTTTCCTTTTTTATTTCAATTCCAACTTTGGTCATGAAGAATATGTTTCTCTGTTGTCCACGTTCATAAAGCATAAAACAACAGCATCAGAGCACGGTGCAGAGTCTCTAGATGAGTTTACAGTAGTCCCTCGTTCTTATTAAACATCCATGTTGTAGTCCGCTGTATAGAAAACTGTAGTTTCCATAGTTTCCCCACAGCAGCAGACGCACATTCATGACGTCCGCTGGCGCATCATAAACACGTCGGATAGTGAAAGTGCAGTCGATTCTCTAAAGTACCGCAGTCTCTTAATATGTGTAATGGCAAATGCCATATATGATTTTCTTACCTGGAGTTCTGCCTTTTTGAACCAATTTTTTTTCTTTTTCTTTTTTTTTTACAATTTATTTATTGCAGAAATGTATTGTACCAACCGCATTGGTATAACAAAGCAATCATATTTTCCATTTTCAGCAACAACAAAACAGCAGATTCAGAACATACTAGTACAATTAAGCAGTTGGCGGTTTTAAAACACATCCATGGGCGAGATAACAAGAAATGCAATATTCATGCTAGAAACAAGAGGGCAGTCCAGGACAAAGAAAAAATGTCCATAGGAAATTGAAGAACAAAAACCAACAAGATAAAAGTTACAGGATTAACATTATTGATCATTCATCCCACACCTTCATCCTCACCCAGACCTCTTAAGTGTCTCATCACTGGAGCCCAGGCCTTATCAAACACTCTCCCCCTTCCTGCATTCTAGAATCAAAGTTTCTCCAGGTAGAGGATCTCACCCAACTCCCTCAGCCACATCTCGAACGAAGGCACAGCATCAGACTTCCATAACCTCAAAATAAGTTTTTTAGCCAAAACAGTACCCAAAAACACTGGCCATTTGTCACTGCCATAGTTCAGATCAGTGTCACTCGTGGACCCCAGAATGGCCACAAGGGGATCAGGCTTCAATTGCTTGTCAAATGCTTTTGAATAAAAATCAAATACAGAAGTCCAGAATGAGTGGAGGTTGGGGCATGTCCCGAATTGGTGTGTAAGGGTGCCAGGTTGATTTTTACATTTGTTACATAATGCTGATACGCTGGAATACATCTTGTTTACTTTAACTTTTGAGTAGTGCAATCTATGTACAACTTTAAATTGTATCAGATTTAATCTAACATTTACTGAGCACCGGTGAATATTCCTAAAACATGTTTCCCAACATTCCTCAGTGATCGGCATACCCAATTCTGTCTCCCACTCAGTTCTATACTTTTCTGTGCTGACTACTTCCTGACTAAGAAGTGTCTGGTATAGGGTTGACACTGCTCCTCTACATCCTGGTCTAACATTAATTATCTCTTCAAGTGCCCGATGCTGTGGTATATCTGCAAATGTAGCTATATGAGACCTCATAAAGCTCCGGATCTGCAGATATCGAAAAAAGTGTGAGGCTGGGAGATTGTATTTGTTCCTCAATTGTTCGAAGGACATCAAGAGGCCCCCCTGGTACAAGTCCTTCAAGCACTCCACTCCCTTCTCCTTCCAGCGAGCAAACGTGGAATCCACGCTGGCCGGTTTAAAGGCGTGGTTGCCACAGATTGGGCTGTCTATGTACATAGTTGGGGCTTTCAAGTATGTTTTAATTTGTTTCCATATTTTAAGAGAATTGTGTACCAGAAAGTTCCCTGCATATAGTAATTTATTAGTCTTAACTGGACTATTCAGTAGGGCTGGGAGAGAAGTTCCGAGACAGGCCGCCCGCTCCATAGAAAGCCAGGCTGGAGTGTCCTCCTCAGTGCCCTCAGTAAGGGTACCACTTCTCCAGAAAGCCAGAATGTTTAAATGTGCTGCCCAGTAATAACATCTAACATTTGGTAGAGCAAACCCTCCCTCATATTTAGCTTTACAAAAGTGTTTCTTGCCGATACGCACCGCTTTATATTGCCAGATGAAGGCGGTTAGAATAGTCTAATTTCTTAAAATAGCTTTGCGGTATACATGATGGGATTGACTGGAAGAGATATGTAAAACGTGGGAGAACCACCATCTTAACTGCGTTTACTCTCCCACCCAGTGACAGAGGGAGAGTTTTCCAGAAGTCTATGTTCTGCTTAAGCTGGGTTATTTTCAGTTTCCAGTTCTCCTCAAGTAACCGTTCGGGTTTTCTGGTGACTGTCACCCCCAGGTAAGTGAACCTGTCCTCGGCTATCTTAAAGGGCACAGATTTCAGTGTGGAGCTGTTCTGGTTCAAGTACACTGGCATTAATTCACTCTTATCCCAGTTTATTTGAAACCCCGAGAAGGAGCCAAAATGGTTAAACAGCTCCATAATTGAGGGCATAGATTCCTGTGGTTTTGAGACATATAGCAAAATGTCATCCGCATATAATGACAGTTGATGATTCTGCCCTTTAATGGAGACAGGTGATATTCCGGGATGCCGCCGTATACTTGTGGCTAGTGGCTCTATGGCTAAAGCAAATAAAAAAGGTGAGAGGGGATCTCCCTGTCTAGTGCCACGGTATAGTGGGAACTGGGGGGAGATATTCTGGTTAGTGATCACACTAGCTGTGGGATGAGCATACAAAATCCGTATCCAGTCAATGAACATCTTCCCAAAGCCAAATGTCTCTTGAGTCACATCCATATATGGCCACTCGACCTGGTCAAAGGCCTTCTGAGCGTCCACTGAAATCACAACTGTCTCTGTATTGTGCTCAGCATATAGTATGTTAAATAGGCGTCGTAGGTTGAAATAAATATGCCTATTGGGAATAAAGCCTGTTTGATCGGGGTGTACAATCGTCTGGATATAAAGCTTCAATCGGTTAGCTAGAATT